GCACCTGTATTTCTATTCCTGCCTTGTCTATAGAAATAACATCCGAAATCTGTTTGTAATTTTGGAAAACAATCAGGACACATTTTCAGTTCTTTTTTTATTCATACAACTGTACTCTCTGTGTGCTTCAGTTCTCTCAATTACAAAACTTGATATTAAAAAAGAAAAAGGAAACCCTGCTCAAGTGAGCCTTTCACTGGTCTTTGGAAAGCAGCAAGTCTGAAAAACATCCAAAGTGGCAGATGTGCAAAATTCTCATTCAAAAGCTAGAAATTGCCTGTACAATAATTTTTCAACTCTGGTTGATTTCATTGCTTCTCCACTTGCAAACCAATACTACTAGTTCTTTTTTTGTCTGTAGAGACTTCAGAGTGCATTATGCAGCTATATTAGTGGAGAGAAACAGTGTGGAAGGGAAGAAAGAGACTAGAGTTTAGGAAGAGACTGTTGAATAAAAGTATTTTCTGTTGTTGTATACTCATTTTATTAGTTTTATTTTAGAAAGAATGATGGAAATACATAATTATTAATTTTATGTCAATTTTTGAAAATGGAAAGACTAAAACAGAGAGATGGTTCACCTCTGGTAGCACAAGGCTGTGGCATAGTCAAGAATGCAACCCACATGCCATAAGTTCCCCTTGACTGCCTTAGCCACAAGACAGTTCTGGGTCTTTTTGAGGTTATGTCTGTTTTTCAAAACCGTGACATGTACAAAGGCTTTCCATTTTGTCAAAAATTATTTATTTGATATAGAAATAATATCTAAGAGGTCAGGATTGGTGGCAGATACAGCATCAATCCTTTCTGGGTTGTGTGATTGCAGCAGTTTTATTTGTGGAAAAACAGTAAAACAAACAACATGGTGGCAAATGAGAAGGGAGGATAAATTGTTAGTTTTGACTGCTTGCAGGACTACAGAATACTGCAAGGACTCTGGATTCAAGGATTTGACACTGCAGGATTACAGTGTTGAAGCTGAGACATCTAATAAGTAGGCAGTGTCATCACGGTTCAGTCCCAGTTCTGGATTGCCATCTTTAATATGGATATCAAAGCAAAAATTCTTCCATTAACTTCAGAAATCAGATTTGAGTGAGCATCTGTCATGGTTTAACCCCAGCCGGCAACTAAGCCCCACAGAGCTGCTCGCTCACTCCCCCCCAGTGGGATGGGGGAGAGAATTGGAAGAGTAAAAGTGAGAAAACTCGTGGGTTGAGATGAAGACAGTTTAATAGGAAAGCAAAAGCTGTGCGCGCAAGCAAAGCAAAACAAGGAATTCGTTCACTACTTCCCATCGGCAGGCAGGTGTTCAGCCATCTCCAGGAAAGCAGGGCTCCATCACGCGTAACGGTTACTTGGGAAGACAAACGCCATCACTCCAAACGTCCCCCGCTTCCTTCTTCTTCCCCCAGCTTTATATGCTGAGCATGACATCACATGGTATGGAACATCCCTTTGGTCAGTTGGGGTCAGCTGTCCCAGCTGTGTCCCCTCCCAACTTCTTGTGCACCCCCAGCCTACTCGCTGGTGGGGTGGGGTGAGAAGCAGAAAAGGCCTTGACTCTGTGTGAGCACTGCTCAGCAATAACGAAAACTTCTCTGTTTCCAGCACAAATGCAAGACATAGCCCCGTACTAGCTACTATGAAGAAAATTAACTCTACCCCAGCCAAAACCAGCAGAGCATCTCAGTCAAAACATCATGACTATATTTATCTTATTTTTCAATGTAAATTTGAATTGACAATTCACTTCCAAAATAAAATGAATGGAAAATTTTATGGCCTTGTATCTCTTCCGATGTTGGGGAACAAAGAGGAAGTGAGGCACCTGTGATGTTTCATGAGGCTTCCAAATCTTCGTGATGTCCCCTAATATTTAAGTACCACTGTCTTTCTGTAACAATGTAATCACAGTAAAATACATAGGATCATATTTCATAATTTAGTGATGATGTCTCAGAACACGCCTGTCTCGTTCTGGTATGCTGCAGTAATGTTCTGCCAGGTCTTACTGACTTATCCATCAGTTTTAATAACTTCTGCCTATTTGACTTTAATTTGGCTTTACCATCTTCGTAGCTTTTTATACCTTCAGAGTCCATGGAAACTTTGTGATTGTCTCTCTTTTATTAGTTAGTTTCCATCAGATTGAATTTTTTTCCCCAAAGAAGTAGCAGTCTGTTTGGTTAATCAAAATTATGGTTCTGTTTCTCACCTTTTTGAAGTTCAGTACCTCAAGGGAAGTACCTTTACAGGTAAGGAGAGCCATCAGGGTTTCGCAGAATGATCTTCTACATGTGGGAAAACTGTGTGTTTGCCATTCTGTGCACTCTTAGAGAGCAGATGCATCTTGCCAGAGAAGGCTTTTCTGTCAGAATGCAAATCATGACCTACCTCATTTAAATGCTTTGTCAGAACACTTCAAAATATGATTACATAGGAGCCAAATGATACCACCCTCAGGATGTGCATCCTCAAAGTAGCTATGTCATTTTATCACATAATCAATATCACCAAACTGGTGTCTTACTTTTTATGCAAGTACTTTACATTGTGGTAATTCTCAAGCTTTTAGTAATCGTTCATCGGCGTAGCCTGCTACTGGGACTTAGGAACCAGCCTTGTGACTCGTTACTCCCAGTTAGAGATGCAGGAATTGTACACATTGAAAAAAGTGAACTTCCTGAAGAGTGAGCCTCCTGGAGGAGAACAAGTTACAAGTCTCTTGTTTTGAAATTGTCTACGGTCTCTCCTGCCCCCCTCCAAAGGTGCTAACAAATTATGCAGAATAGTTGCATTAGTGAAAGAAAGCCTTCTTCAGTCTTCATGAGTCATTGCTGTGAGGCTCCATCTTCTTACCATATTCTGATGATGGGACAAGAGCATGCCTCCTACGCAGTGATTTTCCTTCTTATTACTAATTGTCCACCCAAAAATACATTTAAACTACTTGTGACAATTATAACATCTGTGAAGACCTAATATTCTTTGCGTGAAGCTGGTTATTCTTAAACCAACACTAATCTATCCTACCAAGAGAATGATGCTTTTCTGAAAACAGAAATGCTTTTCAGTTTTAGCTTTGTGACAGTATCGTGTGTCCTTCCAGCCATAGTCAGAGTTCCCTTACTCGTAAGAGCTATTATTTTCTAAAAGTTGAACTACACTACTTCCATAAATCCATTTACTATGTCCTAGTGACCCTTACAACTGTTACTGTGATGCAAAAGTATCAAATAACAAGGATTGTCTGTCATATTCAGTTCACAAGCAGCATCTTCTATACAGATACGAAATTATCCGCTATGAGGAATGCCACCTGTGACAAAATCATTGCTCTTCCTGTCATCATCTTTCTCCCTGTATTGCCTGGTGGTTTTTACAGCAGCAACTCTGAAGTAGTAAACAGTTGAGGTCCTCCTTAGAAAAGTATAGTGACTGGTTATTTAGCTTATATTGACCCAGAATACATAGCATTTCAGTATTTTCCTTGGATCTCTAGCTTAAATCAGTGGATAGAAGGTTTTTCAGTTTTTCTAGGAATACTTTGGAGTCTTGCTGCTGCACTGCTATGAATTTGACAGCAGTTCTTGTTACGAAAGTCTTAGCCAGTTGAAAAGAATGGTATTTTCATCTTGACCAATTTGTATCTTGGGTGAGAAATGATTTTGATCCCTGACTGCCTGTAATAGTTTTGTAGATGCTTTAGCATGAAAATGGGAGAAATTTTCAATAGATTCTTATTCTGAAAGTGTAGAAAGCTGTTTTCTTTTTACAATGCATAACAGCAGAATATTTGTGTTGTGTGATGTATGTATAAAAACAGTGCACATACATAAAACAATTAACAAAGACCTTATACGAAATTAAAATGTGTGATAAAAATTCTGACTAATCTCTGACATAGCATCTCTGACTGATAAACAGCCTCCATTTTTTTTTGAGGAACAACCCTTTTCAAAACTGAAAAGAATTCAGTTTCCTAAAGCAGTCTTTAGGGTGCATGTATGCCAGCTACATTTTCCCCACTAACACAAAAGCTGCAGAGGGTAAATTGTCTGTAATTATAAAAAGCCCCAGAGGAGGGGAGTTGTCTTTGTGCCCTGCCTCTGTTAAATGCAGGTCATTCAGACCAGGTGACTTAACTGAGTATATTGTAATCTTACTAATGTAGTCAAATGTTTCTTATAGCCATCACGAGTGGCTGTAGTTCATATAGCATGATGTGAAAATTTCAACTTTGTATCTTAGTATCTTTGGAGAGATACTATGCTAATTTGAAAATTTAATTGAGTTTTAATTCATAAAGTCTTGACTGAACTTTTTGTGATCTGCCCTGATTTACAACACTTTAAAATCTCATTGAGGGCCTGGTTTATGGCAGATTATGTCTAAAAATGTTTTATTTTTCCCAAGCACATGTTTTTTAATCTCTCCATCCTAAGACTGCATTTGCGTAGGAAGTTCCTTTTCCGTTGTTGAAATTCTTGATGAAAGGTGTGTGTGTGTAAGTATAAACTTGCAATGCTAATAAAACCAGGAAGTTAGTCTTTTGGAGAATTCTGGCATTCCTCAATTTCACTTTCTGTACTCTAAGTTAAAAATCTAGCTGTTTACTCACACTAGGAGCTGCTTCTACATCAAAACTTGTGCTTTGAGTTAGTGGAAAGAGTTTTTAAATGCTGCAGAACAAAGATGCTGCTCATACCAGAAGGGAGTCATATTAAAATTGATATGGATGTCACCTCTGCCTTCTCTGACAGACCGATTCACTCCAAAAGAAGTTGCCAGTTTTCAAAACTCAGGGATTTAGAAACTGACTCTGCTTCTCCTCTGTGCCTGAAAAAAAGATATAATGAACTTACAGAAAATAATTTACTGTATAATCAAATAAAAATCTAAACACTTTTACATGACCACTGCTCTTTGAATACAGGTATGTAAACATAACATTACTGAAATTAAAATGACCTTCTGATGCATGTTTTTCCATACAGGGTCCTTCTGGACTAAAAGGAATTCTGGATTCATTGAACAAGCATTATAATGAGGTATGGAGATTTGATATAGTGTCTGTGTGTGTGTTTATGACTAAGAAGTAGCTAAGGTAGAAATGACCACAGTTTTGATCCCTGTGAACCACATTCCAAATTAATCCAAAAGGTAGATCCTTCCCTGTCCCCTTTCCGCATCCCTGTATAGTCTCAGTCCACGCTCCAGTCATACCTACTGTGTCATCTATCCTGCTGCCATGTGTCTTACCTCCCATCCATCTTCTACTCACGTATTTTTGCCTGGTATATCTCAAAAAGGAGGTGGGTGGACCACCTAGCTGTTAGCGTAAAGCACCAGCTCCTCATTTCTAAACCTAATTGCTCTAAACCGTACATGACATTTTTTCTTTCTTGACCTACTCTGTCATGATCCTGAGAGTAGAATAGAAGGACAAGGAAGCATGCTTTTAAAAGATCTGCTAGCAATCCATGAGAATTATCCTTATGTTTGTATTACAGACTAATAAAAATACTGTCTTAATTATAGAATCTCCTGCAGCTACAAGCACTTCATAGAAAAAAAGTTAAAATTGCGTAGGACAGTGTTCTATGTGACAGAGCTTTTAAATTCTTACCACAGAGTTTTTGAATCATTTAAGTGGTGGTAGTGTCTGCCATTGTAAGGCATCGTAATTCAAAGATCCGCCAGTTTTCTTAACTGATGCCAAAGTGAGTACATAACTTATCTGATTAGAAAATTGTATTTCATTGCAAGACTGATGAAGCAGTATTACAGGAATATTTGCTTAATACAAAGGTTACTGTGTGTATCACACCTTAAGTCATGAGGGTCAAACCTGAAAGACATCCATTTCTTTTAATATTAAAATGCATAACTATAAAGAGCAGGTGAATTCAGGATATTTTTCTTACATAACATACCCATATGAGTACTAAAATCTTTTTTTGAAGAGGGATTCTGGAGCGAAATTCATGTCAAACGTATCTTTCCAATTGCTTTTATCACTGAAGTGATTTCTCTGATATTTCTGATATTTAATCCATTCCAACTCAGTGTATCACCTTCAAACGTGGATTAGGAGTTAGGCATAGTTTTATATGCTGTCCTGGACAGGGACATTTTCATACCTGGAGACTTTGTTTCTGGTTTTGGTCTGCCATTTCATATGTGTTGAAGTTTTTTATATTTTGGGTTTTTACCTTTCGTTTTCTTACCAGGTTTTTTTTCCTGCCAAAGACAGCTTTCACTGATACCAGCCCTGTTTCCTCTATCAATACCATATTTATCATAATTCATTCCCCACCTCTGGACTATTAATCTCTCTTACTCTGATAGTGCCTTTAAGGTTAATTCTGCAGGAGGAAATACAAACAGTGGTGATCTTCAGGAACTGGCAAGCATCTGTCTCCAAAAATCACGTTTCTTATCATTGTAAGGCTCTAAGAATTCCTAAGGTGACTTATATTTCCTAATTAACAATATTCTGGAAAAATGTAGACCAGCTGCTCTGTGTCTATAAATTAATCATCTTTTAAATCCCGTACAGTTTACCAACTTTCTTCTTCCTTCAGCTGTCTAGTTTGAAGATTTTAATGACTCTGTCACGAGCAATTAACTGTTCAACGAGGAAAAGCTGTTTGGTTTCAGATGAGAGAGGAGATGGCTTTCTGATTCAAGTAGCAGGTTTTAAATATGCAAACTTTCTGTAACTACATGTTCAGATCTTCCTAGAGTCAACTTAAGTCTGCAACTGCTACAGCAAACATATTAGTTTCTACACATTTTATGATGGGAACGGGATATTCCCATCAAGGACAAGACAAAGACATCAAAGAGGTCATCAAAGACAAGGACAGCTTGTCTGCTTTGCCATTGATTATTCATTTAGACAGATGTATGCACCAATAACTTTCCTTTTTTCCCCACACTCTTAAGTAGTATGAGGAGTGCTGATTTCGTTCACTGCACCTTGGAGGAACCAAGCAATCTTTCACATTCCAGTATATAATTTGCAATGTGCCTCAATTATTTGCGTTTGTAAGATGACATTTCAGTGATATTCTGAGGTTTTTGAGATTCCTTACACCACAGGAAACAGTCTTCTCATTTTCCAACATTTTATGCATGTTCTCAAGGATCTCACAAGGTCTTCTTTCAGTTTCGGTTTTTAAAGTGTTTAAATTGTGACCACATTTTTGTTGCTATAGAGATTTTAATATCTTTTTTTTCTGAGGATATTAGTATGGCTTCTTTGCATTGATGTTTCTAGTAATCATGAGAAACTGCTACCAAGAAATGTCGGGGATCAGTGAGAGAGATCTTAAGACACATCATGATTAATAATGCCTTTTTTACCTATAATTTCTCTGTTTCTTAGCAGGTTATTTGCAATTCTCATTTCTGTGTGGTATCAATAAGTAGTTGTAATTGTACAATGTTTTTATATAATTTGTTGCAACCAAGCTTTTTCTGGCTCAGTATCAATCACCTTGTCGTGTAAGGAGGCTGGAGTGCAAGTTTTTAAAAGCATAATTTACTTGATCCATGTATACAGTGAAAGAGAGCACTATAAATACAATTGCTAATTGCAGCAGCAAATTGTGCTGAATGGCCAACCAAGAACAGCAGTCTTTCTTCAACGAAGGTGAGGGGAACCTGCTGAGGATAAGTAGTAGCATTGATCCTTAATGGGGCGGGAGACAGTGCTGGAGCATTTCTTCCCTCATCGTTCTTCCTTTGTGCCTGTTCTTGCAAAGCGTGTGACTATTTTTATATTCCTTCTTCTTATGTCTTTCACGCTTTCAGCGTAAGTTAGATGCTTTGCATTTGTTCAATACATGCATTTTGTTCTCTTCGTTATGCCAAGAAACTGGTTTTGCCCTGCTCTGTGGGTTACATTCCTTCAGTGACTGGTAAATGATACCTCGTGATTTGTGTTTATACACTCTCGGGCCTCTGTTATCATCCTTTGCCTGGGCTTTCAAGGCCTTTGCTTGTCATCTTTTTTACTTACCAGTTTTCCATGCATAGATAGAAGGTCACTTCAGTCAAACCTGCTTCTAAACATCTTTGGAAAGGGCATACAGATCAGTTTAATCTAAAATGTTCTCCAACATGTAAAAATAAAAATGAAACCACAACACAAAGCAATTGAAACTACATCACAATCTGCTCAGGAAATGTTTCAAAATCATTATAATTCATAATAATTATAGATTATTCTTGAATAATTCATTATTACTTTTCTAAGATTTTTTTCTTTGGCATATTTTACTTACATTTTGTTGTAAAGAGCAAATGACCTATAAATATGCAGAGAGCATAAAAGTAGTTATTTACTCTAACACCCTTTTTTTTCCTGCATGTATGCAAAAGAAATGCACAACTCAGAAGAAGTCGTAACTTATAGTATATTCATAATAACAGACACCTAGATTGTTCTCAGTCAAGCAGTAGTCAACTACTTGTCAGCAATACTCAGGTTCCCTTCTTTGGGTATCTGCTCTGGAGCTGATTTTGATAATTAGGGTAGTAACAATGTTACAAACCCTAAACACTGAAGAACACCCTTCAGGACATTAACATTTGTAAAATAATTATGAATTTTATTCAGGTTATATTCAGTTATCAACTTCTGAAAATATTAAGAGAGTGTAAATGGCACTTTTATTCATCGTGATGTTCTCCCATTTTAGAGACATGGAAACTGGGACATGGCAAGGGCAGTTGGCTTGCTCAGGGTTCCCATTCAGCCCAGTGGCAGATGTTCTAGGTCTTGGACTCCTTGGGTCCAGACTCGAGCCCATTTTTCAGGGTCATTGGTTTTGTTGCTTTTTCCATTTTCATTAAAAGAAAACATGTTCCCCTTAGGTAGTCTGAGCCTGGCTTTGTGAAGATGAAACCGTTTGCTTTCTATTTTATTGTGTCTTTACCTTGTATGGAAGAGTAAATAGATGCAGTGCAATAATACCTGAGCAAGTATACAACCTGCACCCCTGGTCCTTAAATCCATCTGTTTTCTTTGAGGAGCAGTGTGAGGAGCCTGTTGATCATATTCATTCCCTCTCCTTCTGTCTCACTGCTGTAGTAGACTTAAATTAGTTCTATTTTACATTTCATGCTGCTCAAAAGTAAAAAGCTTGTGTTTTTGTCATAGAAGTGATTTTTATTGTTCTTTTCTAACATACTTGAGAAATGTACTGTAATAATGAGCATAAAAATATGCTCTTTGCATTGAGTTAAGAAAAAAACCAACACAGATTTGCATAGCAATATTCAACATCGACATTTCCTTTTTATGCTTTTGTTCATCTTCTGCTAGTCTGACTGGAGTACGAATGCATGACAAAGGATGTGTTGCTGCAATACATTACTTAGATGTACTGCATAGGCATTTAGTATCCCTTTCTAGTAGTAAATTAGGACTTCTGAATTTACATACTGGTAAATTACATGAAATTGTTATGGTAAATAAATTGTTACTGTAAATAAATGGTGACGTGTTCTGTTCTCTGATCTTTATGGTGATATTTCTTCCCAGAGTGATACAAGACTACTAGGATTACTTGGGACCCCTGGACCTAATGGCCAGAAGGGAGACATTGTAAGCATTTTGGATGAATTTGGAGAAATTTCAAAGTGCCTGTCTAACCTGTCTCTGCCACCCTTAACACAGTATATTTTATTTGATTTATCACAATGGTCTTTGAAGGAATAGATTTTAGATGTGACTGGCTCTTTGATCTGTGTAGTCCAATATTGCAACTCATCATGCTTTCCTGCAGGTGCAGCACGTGAGCCTTTCTCCTCTCATATGTGATAACCAGAAAGGGAAAATGCAGGAAGAATTGTGTGTGGTTTCTATAACACTGTCTGAGGAGAGGTCAAATGAGCTGGCCTGCTGGTTTAGGGGGAAAAGACTCTAAAAGAGTTGAAATTCAGAAAATTTTTTTAATAGTAAATCATGAGTATTTAAAGCAGTTTCTCTGTAACGATGGGACTTGCTATACCAAAAATACTTATAGTCAGCCTCTAAAAATTACATGGAGGTCAATTTCTGAATCCACACCATATGACAGTATGTTGTTTATAGGCATCTGTCCTGTTTAAACAATGGAATGAATTTTTAACAATTGGATGCCTTTTAAACTTGGAAGAGACAAGTCCTCTGGATATGTCACAGGATTGATACCGTTTTTTATTGAGAAGCCTGCAGATCTGCTGTACAAAACAGGCATTTAAATTAATTTGCAGATGTTTAAATCTCAGATTTCCATTGCAATAGAAGTTAAGATTTTGTGCCCTACACAGAACAAAATACAGTTGAAGGAGAGGAGGAGTTTATTTGCATTTGTTAGAATATAAAAGGTTTTAAATAGAATTTATTTTGTTAAAAGGGTCAAAAAGGAGAATTGGGAATGACCGGCGTAAAAGGAGAAAAGGTAAATTAATTCCTTACTTCTGTGCTTATGTGTGCTACTAGAAGGTGGGTGAATGTACTGATTATGAATCAAATTTTGGAAAAATATACTCAGGATCAAGAAAGTATATTTGGGCATCGGAAAAGCTGTCAGTCTCTGAATGTCCTTAGTAATTTACTTAAGCCCCTCCTTGAGAGAGTATTTACGTATGAAAGTACATTTCCCTGTTCCAACAGCTCACAAAGTCCTTAACTTTAAACACATTCAGACTTTTACTGAATACCAGTTTAAAATTATGTTTATATAAGTTTACAACCAGTGATTGCCTCACGAATTAGACGCCATTCATACTTTTTCAAGTTACAAATGTGATCTTCAATACCTATATGAAAAAACAGGAGTCTTTAAATTATTAAAATTTATAAATAAACTTTCTAATTTAATATCTTTTAGTTTAAGCTTAAATTTTCCAGAAAGATTGGGGGGGGATGAATAGGTGCGTATTGTGTTTTTCTAGGAACATGTGATGTACCCAGTTCTTCATCCACTGAATAACAGGCATTTTGCCCTTCAGCTGTTAGGCTTCCAGTTGGGTTCTTTGGTCATATCCTTGTGTATAAACAGTTTTCATGCAGGCAGAAACTTTTTTTACTCTGCTGATATGACAGATTCATGATTTTGTGTTTTATAAAGCACTTCTGTTTCAGAATTTGTCAGATTTGTACGCGTTGTCACTCTTTTTAGTTCCTGTTGCTGACCCTCCCTTGTGCTCCTGCTTGAAAGGATTACGCATGTCATGGTCTTGTCATTAAATCAACATCATCCCTCAAGTAAACTTTTGTAGTCCCTATACTTACATTTTATATAGGTTTAAAAAAACCCAACATTTTTCAAGGACTTTTCACCAAAACCAGACATATGTACTATTTATCATTTGAAATAAATCTGTGTTAACTTCTTCCCTATGTTTCCATAGGGAGAGCCTTCTGAAAAAGGGGACAAGGGAGATCCAGTAAGTATAGCTATGTTTTGAACTGATGATGTGAATAATTTACATTTGATATGATTTTCATACTGTATTCATGTTGTAATTCTTTTCTTTGTACACTTTCATTAGATTCAGCGATTACGTAGGATAGCATATGTATTGCCTCCTTCTTACACATGCATCAAGTTCACACAGGTTATAAATAAAAAACAGAGATGCCCTGTTCTTCAGCATTTCTGTAGTTGGTACAGTCCATGAACCGAGTTTAAAGTACACGGGTTTTTCGTTCCCTGAAGGTTCTTTCTTTCTTTCAGTTATTTCACAAAATTATATGTGGGCTGAACTGTATTATTTTTAATTGTTTTACCAGTTTCCAGTGTGGCATTTAGCACCAAGCAGTTTTCTTATAGCCATTTTATGTGTGCATCATTTTTTTGTTATTTTGGGGGATATTTTCAGAACATTCATTCTGTAAGAGTCTGTTTACATGTGTTGCTTATTTTTAATTAACTATTGTCCTCTCCTATGACATTTGACAAAAGCTAGTTATGTTGTTTAATACACAACTGAAGGTTGCTCAGATACTTGTGATTAACATATTATAATAACCAAAATAAGGCATACTGTAACAATGTGTGGTTTTGGAGATGAATACTGTGTCACCAGTAGAGATTTAGTGGTGAAGAATAGGCTTTAGACTGGAGAAGCTCTTAAGCAAATGTGGTGTTTTCAAACAATTTTTCTTTAAAACACTAGGAAAACCTGCAAACAAGTTTGAAAGAGGAATGCCTTTCAGAGTTTGCACAAGGCATGAGAAATTCTTTAATGCTTTCTCAATATTTGTTAAGTTTGCAAACTATATTCTAATATTTTAAGGTAGCAAATTAAACTCTTAGTTGATCTTAGTTCAAGTTTTAACTTCTTACGGTTGTATTTTCAGGGAGAAACTGGAATGGAGGGATCAAAAGGAAATAAGGTATTTTTTGGCTTGTACATACTATATACATCACTGGTGTACATAGCTGATACTGTGAGACATAAAAGTAAGTTTGGATTTTTTTTTATTTTCTCAAACAATATCATTAGGGTGAAACAGGAGACCCTGGACCACCTGGTCTTACTGGAAATCCAGGATCAAAGGTAGGTGGAAGGTATTTTTGTGGTATTAACAGCCATTACATTCTATGCTGTTATATAAGAGGACTCTGAATGCTATCAACTCTCTAGCTAGTAGTAAAGGGCAGAGAATACAAATAGTTTATATCAAAAGTTTGTGCATGGATCATGGCTATTTTACTTTTAGTTCATAAAATTCTTGTTGATCTCAGCATCGCTCAGCAAGGAATATTTATGCAAAGCCCAAATGTTATTTGGTCACTCAAGAATATGAGCACCCATTTTGCAACTACAAATCCACCGGTAGCTGGGTGTATTCTCTTTATCCATCAGTGAGGCAAGGAGTAACCACTGCCAGTACATTAGCAGTTCCTATGTTTAATCCTATGAGACTGCAAGTAATGTCAGAGTAGTCATTGCCTTGCTTTCAAGAAAGTAACTGAAGCACAAATGTTCTTGAGAATCTCTCATGATGCCTTCAATTGTGTCAGATAAAGGTAGAATTGGAAACTGTGAAAATGTAACCTCCACCCAACACTATTCTTGTTGGGTATGATAGTACCCAAGTTCCTCAAAAGAAGTCCCAGGGAGAATAGATGCAGCTATAGGGTCCACGAAACTGTGGTCTTAAAAATGATTCTCCACTCTAACTCCTTAGGCTGCTCTTTGGAGGCTAATGTCCTTCCTTGGTAGGAGCTACTGAAATGATTGTTGTTACTGCAGTGGAAATCTAGGTCACCTTCACACTGTATACCTTCCAAAGAGGCTCATAGAGATCCAAAGGATCATTAGGGTTTGCACCAAGTCATCCTTTTATCTCTACATCTCAATCCCCTTTTCTTTCGGTGCTCTGGAGTCCTTCTGATGAGATCTATTCCAAAAAGAGAAGGAACACCTACCATGTAGTTAAAAATCACTTCTAGATCTGTGCCTTGAGGGAGAAAATCTTGATTTACTCCTTTTGTTTTGTCTTTCCTTTTAGGTAGTGCCTTTGTATTTACTTGTATTTGCTTTGTATACATACTTTGGATTTTGTACATATCAGTCCCAAAGATTTATTGGACTAAACGTTAGGTTAAAGGAGAATGAGCAAACTCTGTACATCTTACTCCAGGTAGAAGATAATTCTTAATGCCAGATATTTTGATCTATTTATATATGAGAACACTTTACACTGAATTACAACAGGTGTATTGACTTTTACCTCAAGCGCGTATTATATCATTTCACAGGGACTGCAAGGACCCCCAGGACCTGTCGGACCCAGGGGACTGCCAGGAGAAGTTGTATGTATTGTGCAGTTTCACCAAGCTGTAGAACTGTGGTGTGTGAACAGCTAGCCAGTGAAGCAGTACCACAGAAGTTATCATAGGTGCTCCTTTTGTGGGTGGTACTATAGCAATCAGGTGTTGAAGCACAGTAGTATGGGATGCCTCAGGATGGAGTTCTGCTATTTGCTTATGTTCTCTTTGTCCTTGTGTTACCATCTGAACAAGTAAGAATGATAATACTAATTTGTCTGATTCACAGATAATTAGCTCTGCAAAAATCACTCATCTCACAGGAGTAGGTGAAAATTAAAAAAATCTCTAGCAAAGTTTTAATAATGTTACATCGTGAGCTGGAAAGGACAGTGTGTGTGGAGCAAAATGAGAAGAAACAGGGAAAGTAAGAGTACCCCCAAGGATTTAAACACATGGCCTTCCTTATTTCTGTCTGTGGTTTTGTATTATTCTGAATTGTTTTACTTCCTGTAAAAGGGGTAAAGATTAATAAGGTGAACAGAATAAACAATTATGTTTATTATCTTAGAATTTAGGTCAGATTTATGAGTAAAGCTCATATTCAGAGCAAGACGTAATTCCATTAAAACTAGGGACAATATTAAAATCTTTAGCCAGAGTAGAAGTATTGGTTGGAAAGAATTTAATAGAAAACTCCTTTTTTAATTACTGTTCAATAGATTAAATTACTAAAATACTTCTGCAGAAAGTGGAATGAGAGATTATTCTTACAATTGCGGGTTGATACTCCAATTTAATTGTGCAGAGGCTTACTGACAGTCATAAAGTACCTAAAGGCATTATATGGTTGCCATAGGTGAAAAATAGCTTAATTTCTGAGCACTGACAGGTGGCAGATGATGTGTGTTTGTGTGTCCGTGCCAGAACATCAAAACCTGAACTGTTGAACTCTCAAGCAGAAGCCCACTACTTGTTAGATGCAACAGTAGGGGCTGCTTTTAAATTTTGATAGCACCTGGACTGAACAAAAGTGGCACATCCCGGGCTCTCCAGTTAATAAAGAGACAGGAGACAGACTCACCAATTTGGAGGCTGATCACCTGTTGTGCTTCTGCACGTAGACTATTAGATGGCAAGAACCAAGGGGTGAGGGTACCTTGAAGAAGAAGTGGTGCCAAAATAGAAGGGTTCCTGAAAGGAAAGAACAGTCTCTCAAGAAAGAAGGGGAAGATCTTGGCTGGAGGAAAGGTCCTGGGAGTGGGGGAAGGTCGTGGAGATCAGGGAGATGCATGGAAACAATTGCCAGGGACCATAGCCACTAACACCTGAGACTGGTAACTTTGAGCAGCTGCACAACACAAACCAAGACAACTTGCTGCCCAACCATCCTGGATGAGCAACAATCTCCCTGCTGGAAAGGGAAGTCAGGATCCAATGAACATAATGCTGACGGGGGAACGAGTGAGAGTGTGAGATAATCAAGAAGGGTAAAAGCTCTCATCTCAGTGGTTCTTAAATAAACCCCAATATCCAGATCCCCTACAGGCTGTCAGATGGTATCAGAAGCAGGATACAGATGGTTTATTGAACCTTGACATCATGGCCTGTTGAGGGAGGCCCTCCAGGAGGAGTTGGGGGAGACAGAACACCTCATCAGAGATGCAGTGTGCCCGTAATCTTTATGCCTGTGGGTGCAAAACTGATGGGCTGGGATTGTCGAGGCAGTGGAGGGTCTCAGCAGAGTTTTAATGTGCCTGTAGTTGTTACGCTTTTGGGTGCCCTACATGCAGGTCTGCCAACTGGTTGGGGTTTGTTAAGGTGATGGGGGCCTCCTTCATGGGAGTTTTAGTGTACCTGTAACCGTTATGCTGCTGGGCAACAGACTGATGGGTCTGCTGGCTGGTCGGGATCCCTCAAACTGGTAGGGGCCTCCCCCAAGATCCAGCACACCTGTAACCCTTGTGCCTCTGGGCAGGAAGAGCATGGGTGAAACTTCAATCCAGTCTGAATACTCTAGGAAACACCTTAAATTATTAGGCACCGTTATACTAAGCTTAAAAGTTCCCTGGGCATTTGACTTGACACCCTAATATGGCAGACAGCCTATTCTGAGGAGGTGGCTGCCTGTCTCCCTTCCAAATTATGGCACAATCCCTTTTTAGGTGTGCAGGCAGCTTTGTTCTGCCTAATCCCCCATGTAAACTGAAATTAGGTTTCGGTCCACAACAGTGGTGGTGTCACATAACCTAACAAGTGGCACCTACCCCCTCTCCCTGGTTCTCCTCCCTCCCTTCCTCCGTAAACCATAAAATGGTTTTTAAGTACCATTTTGGAGGTTTGAGTGGTTAGATCCAAGAAGTGGACCAAGAAAAGCAGACAGTGGAGAGCTAGGCTTTAGCCTAGCAGTTAAGTCATTCATCTGAAAAGAACTGGGATTTTGATCTTTGCTCTATGGGTTGGTTTTGTTTTTTATCTTATTTCTACAAACAGAAGCATCTAGGAGCTGGTGTTGCTGCATTTTATCTTAGGCCTTTTCACACACGCTCTGAGACTACTTTGTGGAAGAGAAATCTTAATTTGAGCAGATTTTTAAGTCATATACTTTATTAATATTAAAATACAGTTGTGAGTGGTACACACAGCTGGCAGACTTTTCATTGTTGACCTGTTAGAAGTCTTAGGGATATAAGCAAAGTGACAGCTGGAGTACAGCATCTTCAGCTCCTGGCAGAGAAAAAAAACTAGTATTCAGATCTGCATGTAGTCATTTTGTACTGTGTTACTTATTACCTAGTTGAGGCACACATTTTTTAAATTGTGTCTAATTTACCTGTCTTCTATAACAATAGTTTGTAAGCGTTTTCTGCTGTGCTTCTATTTTTACATATAGATCCCCAATCTTGCTGTGAAAGATAACAAAATACTGTGTTGCTGTTTTGCTTGTGTTGTCATCATCCCGCTTCAGTTCATAATTGCTGCTTTTGAAACTGCTGTTCTGCTGGATCTTTGATCAAGTGACATTATGAAGAGATAAATACTATATATATGTAGATCCTAGATATAGATGATCTTGAAGACTCATATTTGTACACACAATTCTAGTATATAAAAACATATATTTAAACATATTCTAGAAACATGTATATAGTTCCAGGCTCGTTGTTTTGTTTTATCTTCTAAAGATGAAACATTATGGATTAACTAATATAGTAATTCATCTTATGCAGCATGATAAGAATTATGAAAGGTTGAAAATTGTTTTACTTTCACTTATGTCATCGAAGAGTCGTCCAGCAGACAAGACTTGCTTCTTTCCTTTCCTAAGATATCCCTTAAGCTTGGTCCAACCAAAAAAAACCCTGAGAAATCCTTAGGAAAGAAGATAGACTGTATACATTTTATGTCGGTATCAAAAGGGGATAGGGTAGGACATGATGTCTGATCCATAATCAGTAAATTTAAACTTCCATATATTCTTATAATGATTTTGTATTGGTATAAGCAGAATGTTCTTCATTAAGGTACTTTTTTTTTTTTCCTTATGCTTTTAATTTGCGTGGCTGGGTGAAACAAGGAGCTGTCTGTCTGTATTAAGGACAGAGTACAGCAGAGAAAGCGAACACACAGCTGTTGAACCCTCACTACTGCCATGAAAATGTTGTCATCCTTCATATGTCCATGTTCACAAAACTATGTTTTACACTGTGAAGAAAAATAAAAACAATATGTGTATCTTTGTTTTTTCCTCAGGAAGTTCATTTTCCATTCGGGATTAAGTATCATACTTAGATTTTACTGTTCAGTTTTGACAATTTTATCATTTACTATGAAAATTACTGGCATTCTTAATGAAATGCTTGATACAATAGTTGGTTGAATAGCATTGAAGGGTTATGGAAAAAATTTTCTGTGTTTGTTACAGTTTAGTATGAGAACACAATTTAACCTTCCCTATTATTTAAATAGTTTATTACATTTCAACTTAAAGAAAAATGATTCATATATTTGATTAAAGAAGCATTCATTAACTTGTAGTCTTTAACATTTTGGGTCAATACTAATGCACAGTAAATAATCCAGTGTAAACTCATTTTCATCTGTAATTTTAGATAATCTTTAAGGGAATAGCTATAAAAACGTACAATTATATTTTTATTAATTCCAGGGCTTACCAGGAGAGCATGGGGTACCAGGAAACCCAGGAGTTAAAGGTGACAAGGTATGTTTTAAGTGTTTTTAATTAAGCTTGGTATGTTAGAGCATATTAGACTGTCACCTCTGAAGTACCCTTCCATCCTTCTGTAGCGCATCTGTGTGGCTGCTTTATGAATTGATTTTAAAATGTACAAGCAGCAACCCCCGTCTGCTCCTTGGAGACGCTGCAGGCCAATTTGGCAACCCAATTGCTCTTTAGATTCATAATTTAAGTAATATTTCAAGGAGGTTGCATTGGGCTCTTACATTAAATCTGTGCAGTGCAGAAATGTCAGTTCAGGTCCTGACCACAGAACAGCCTTTTCAGTGTAGCGTCCTAACCAGACTAATGTGTAAAATCCCACTTCACAGTCAGACATACTCCTCCTGGCAGAGCACTGGGGCAGCTATACTCTCTCAGATGTGAGCCAAGGCTGGGATCTCTTTATGGCATTGTATTTTGCTGTGTAGAAATCCCTTAGTTAGAATTCAGCTACATCAGCAAGAGTAAAAATGGTATGTGTGTATATGTTGAATGTAGAGAAGGGAAGAAAAGAGGATATACGCATACTGTGAGCTATGTGATGTGTTATGGTATTTACACATTGTGGGGTACAAGGGAAACTAATAAAATCCATTAATAGTTTGAAGAAGTGAGCCGATTAAAAGGCAGGAGAAGAAAATAACTGTGGAATAATGACAAAAATGTATTCGTCTTGCAAAATGAGAAGTAGTGGATTCAGAAAGAATCACAGAGAATGATACAGGAGTGTGTAAAAGACAAGAGGACAGCGTAATAAAAGGCACAAATTCTCCTGTGTAAGCAGGAGGAGTTGTAGAGATGTGCAGCAAGAGATGCTGCATGCGTTGAAGTAAGAAATAGAGGTGTAAACAGGAATACAGTGAAGACCAGGGTTTTAGCAGTAGGGATAGATAGCTGGAGAGAGACAGTTTGAAGCTGTTACTGTGAATTAATTGGCAGGGTTTAATGACAGCCTGCATGTTAGGGGCCTGGCAACAAAGAAATGTAGATCAGATGCATTGCAAGCATGGAAAACCGAGACAATGCTAGTTACTATTAGTGGTTGTGTGGTCCATGCCTCCTCTTCTGTAACTTTTTGAAGGAAAATATGGGGGTTTTTTTCTTCTCTATTTCTTCTCAAAGTACTGGCACTTTCTAGGATAACCTTGATAATATTTAGAGTTTTTTCATAAGAGAAAATTCTCACATTTCAATTAGTGATTCAAATTTATCTTGTAGGGGGACCCTGGTGGGATTATGGGACCGCCTGGACATCCAGGTCCAAAAGGTGATGTGGGACCTCCTGGACTAAGTCTGCCTGGAACACCAGTAAGGCCATAGTCTGAAAAGGCTTTTATGACTGTATTTCTTGTAGGGACAACTGTTAAAGAATTCTCATTGTGCAATGAAAGAAATCAGAACAACTATCTTTTTGGATGTAATTTCAAAATTGAAATATATGTTATAGTGGTATTGTAAGTGCACTAAAATACAGTCTAGAAATAGTGCAAGGCTCACACGTGCTCCTAGGGACAGTGTTATTAACAAGAAAGACATATGTAAATCTGTCATAGTTTATTTATAAAGGCTGGCTAATTTTGGCAATAAAATTCAGCTAGTGTCTTTGATTTCAAAACATAATTTGTTTTTTTCCTGGTTTTCTTTTTTTAGGGTCCCACTGGTATCCCTGGAAACCCAGGTCCACGGGGACCAAAGGTATAAAAAATATATTATTTCTGTTTCTAAAAAAAAGGGATAATATGCTAGTTTACGTTTTCTGACCTGTTGTGACTGAAAGCCTTGTACCCTTCTCAGGGAGAAAGAGGACTACCTGGTGTACAAGGAGCACCTGGGGAGATGGGGCCCCCTGGAATAGGCATTCAGGGATCACCAGTAAGTATACCAATGCTCAGAATTTGGGCTTCTCACTGTGCATCACTGAGAAACTGCAACAAGTAAACAAAGCATAATAAAAAGCCACGCCAAGAACTCCTTTCTGACTTGACTCCCAAGTCAGCATCTTTTCCCTTTATCCAGACCCAGAAAAATCTAGTGCTAAGTGAGAAATGGAAGCCTTGGAGAACTGAAAGAGTCAATGGCTACTTTACAGATGAGCTTCCTAGTGATGGTCTTCTTCTGGGACATCTTCAGACTGTGTCTGTTTCTAAGCAACAATTGTTTGCAGTTGTCAGCAAAATCCAGCCTGAGTACTGGTACAAGAGAAGAGGTATACTCGACATTGTAGATGATGGCATTTTGAAATCCATGCTGGTACTGGAAAAGGCAAAGACACGTAAAAGAGATATGGAAGGCTTTGCATCAGCTCCTAGCTTTTGCATTTGTGATGACTGCTAATTACTTAGGTCTACTGCTTATAAATGAGAACCTTACAGTGCCAGGTACTATGCCAGGAAATAGTGAAGTCCTGATTTTGCACAGCTTGCTTCACGCATTTCTACGCAGTTTAAATTCAAACATGAAGCAAGTTGATGCAGTGTATCTAGAGCATTCATACTAAATAACTTATAACAATAACTGTTTCAGTTATTCAGCTTGTTTCCTGGGTTTCTTTCTTTCTATTGCCTTTAAATAAAACCATCTGCAGTGTCTTCAGAGTATTCAGTAAAAAAGTTGATGGTATTGATGGTGTAGATGATAGGTGGTACATGTTATTACATGAGTTCTACTGTGGTGAATAGGGCAATCTCTCTTCAGTCCAGACCAATATAGTCAGCTGATACATTTCAGTTTATTGACGGGACTCAGGTACAGAGAGAAAATGTTTGAGAAAGGTGACTAGAGGTTCACACTGAGATCTTAATCTGAAATAATAATCCTTAAAAATAATTTCTTCAGTTAAAATATTTTCAAATCTGAATTTTAAAAATTACCCATTTATATTTAAATAATCTAATTTGTTTTTATTCAGCTGAATATCAGCTTTTCTTATGAAACTCCTAGCTAAATAGCAAGTTTCACCACAGATCATTATTCTTTGGTATTACTTGCCCTTAAAAATGGGCCTCAGCAAAATCTTGAATTCTATAATTTTGGCAAAATTAGATTTGGATTTAAAGCCAAACCTTAGAGCAAGTCTTTCTTGCAATGCAAACTGCACCAAGATCCCACGTTCAGTATTTTTTTATGAAGTTCATCTCCCTTATCCCAAAAAGTGTAACTATTGATGATTTGGAGTTTTCTTTCAGGGTCCTATAGGTCCAACTGGATCAGCAGGTGTGCAGGTAGGAGTAAGTTTTCTCTTTAATATAAAAAACATTAATTTAGTTTAAGAAGTTTACAGTAAAATAAAAATATTCTTAAATCCTAAATGACCTTTCCTGCTCTTAGGGCCCTAGGGGACCCCCAGGATTACCAGGAACTCCAGGTACCCCTGGTGTCAATGTAAGTGACAGTTCTCTATATATACAGCAAAAAGTAACGTGTCCCTCATCAGTGATTTAAGGCCATCAAATTTTACATTTGTTTCTAGGGCACTCCAGGAAGAGATGGAAAGCCAGGACTACCAGGCCCTCCAGGTGATCCTGTACGTATACATAGAAAGCTTGTGCATTTGCTTTGGTGTAAATATTTTAAAATTAAAGATAACCTAGCAAGTCTAGAAGTCCAACTGATTAAATTAATTTGATTTTTCAATGATTGTATCCTTTGTTTGTTTTTTTTTACTTGATTATATTGCAGTATAAATTAAACTTATGTTAACATATACAGGATAAATACTTTGTTTTCAGGTGTTACAGTTTGTATGCTAGAGTTTCTGCCAGGCTATAACTTGGCATAGTGTTCCTCAGCCTCAGAAGCAGTTCTGTATAATGCAAATTTTCAGGAGCATACTTTGATAATTCCTGTTAAAAGATTGAAGACCTGATGATAACCAGTTCAATCAGTTTTTACGGAGGGTCTTTAAATACAAGTTTAATGGTAGCACTTGGAAATCTGAGGCTTGGGGAAGAGTGCCTGGAAAGCTGCCTGTCGGAAAAGGACCTGGGGGTGTTGGTCGACAGCCGGCTGAACATGAGCCG